GTTAAAAGAGACAAAGAAGGGCACTATGTAATGATTAAGGGATCAATTCAACAAGGAAGATGTAAATATTATAAACATATATGCATCTAATTACAGGGCACCTGGCTATTTAAAAGAAATGTTAAGGGATTTAAAGGGAGATTACACTCCAATACAATAGTATTGGGAGACTTCATACCGTACTTTAGGTGGTGGACAGATCAACAGAGAGAAAATCAACAAGGAATTAGCAGATTTAATCGACACTATAGACCAAATGGACCTAACAGATATCCACAGAACTTTTCATCCTACAGTTTCAGAATACACATTCTTCTCAGCAGTACATGGAACTTTCTCTAGGATTGACCATATACTAGGCCATAAAGCAAGTATCAGCAAATTCAAAAAAATTAAAATCATACCATGCATCTTCTCAGACTACAATAGAATGAAGCTGGAAATCAGCAACTCAAGAATCTCTAGAACATATGTAAACACATGGAGACTGAACAACATGCTCCTGAATGAACAGTGGGTCACTGAAGAAATCAAAAACGAAATCAAAAACTTTTTTGAAGCAAATAAAGATGACAATACAACATAACAAAACCTATTGGATACAGCCAAAACAGTGTTGAGAGGAAAGTATAGGCCAGCGCCATGCCTCACTTGGTTAATCCTCCGCCTGCAGCACTGGCATCCCATATAGGCACCGGGTTCTAATCTTGATTGCTCCTTTTCCAGTCCAGCTCTCTGCTGTGGCCCAGGAGGGCAGTGGAGGATGGCCCAAGTGCTTAGGCCCTGCACTCGCATGGGAGACCAGGAGGAAGCACCTGACTCCTGGCTTTGAATCCAGCACAGCGCCAGCCATGGTGGTCATTTGGGGAGTGAATCAATGGAAGGAAGACCTTTCTCTCTCTCTCTCTCTCACTGTCCATAACTCTACCAGTCAAATTAAAAAAAAAAAGAGGAAAATATATAGCAATAGCTATCTAGAAATCAAGAAATTGGAAAGGCATCAAATAAATGAGCTATCAATGCATCTCAAGGATCTAAAAAAACTACAGCAAACCAAACCGAAAATTAGGAGAAAAGAAATAATTAAAATTAGAGAAGAAATCAACAAAATTGAATCCAAAAAATAATACAAAAGATCAGCAAAATGAAGACCAGTTTAAAAAAAAATAAACAAAACTGGCACACCATTGGCCCAACTAACCAAAAAAAGGAGAGAAAACACAAATCAATAAAATTAGAGATGAAAAGGGAAATGTAACGACAGACACCAGAAATAAAAAAGAATCATCAGAAATTACTACAAAGAGCTATATGCCAACAAACTGGGAAACCTAGAAGAAATGGATAGATTCCTGGACATATACAACCTACCTAAATTGAGCCATGAAGACATAGAAAACCTAAACAAACCCATAACCAAGACAGAAATTGAATAAGTAATAAAGACCCTCCCAATGAAGAAAAGCCCAAAACTGGATTGCTTCACAGCTGAATTCTACCAGACATTTAAAGAAGAACTAACTGCAATTCTTCTCAAGTTATTCAAAACAATTGAAAGAGAGGGAATCCTCCCAAATTCTTTCTACGAAGCCAGCCACACTATAATTCCTAAACCTGAAAAAGATGCAACAGAAAAAGACAATTACAGACCAATTTCCCTGGTGAACATAGACGCCAAAATCCTCAACAAAATTCGAGCCAATCGAATCCAAAAACACAATAGAAAGATTGCCCACCCAGACCAAGTGGGATTTATCCCTGATATGCAGGGATGGTTCAACATTCACAAATCAATCAATGTGATACACCACATTAACAATCTGCTGAAGAAAAACCATATGATTATCTCAATAGATGCAGAGAAAGCATTGGATAAAATACAACATCCTTTCAGGATGAAAACTCTAAGCAAACTGGGTATAGAAGGAACATTACTCAACATAATCAAGGCAATATATGACAAACCTATGGCCAGCGTCATATTGAATGGGGAAAAGTTGGAAGCATTCCCACTGAGATACGGTACCAGAGAGGTTTGCCCACTCTCACCACTGCTATTCAATTTAGTCCTGGAAGTTTCAGCCAGAGCCATTAGGCAAGAAAAAGAAATCAAAGGGATACAAATTGGGAAAGAAGAAGTCAAACTATTCCTGTTTGCAGATGACATGTTTTTTTATAGAGAATCAAAAAAAAAAAAAACCTCCACTAAGAGACTATTGGAACTCATAGAAGAATTTGGTAAAGTTGCAGGATATAAATTCAATACAAAAAAAATCAACAGCCTTTGTATACACAGACAATGCCATGGCTGAGAAAGAACTTCTAAGATCAATCCCATTCATATAGCAACAAAAAAATCAAATATCTTGGAATAAACTTAACCAAGGATATCAAAGATCTCTACGATGAGAATTACAAAACTTTAAAGAAACAAATTGAAGAATATACAAAAAAATGGAAAAATCTTCCATGTTCATGGATTGGAAGAATCAATATCATCAAAATGTCCATTCTCCCAAAAGCAATTTACAGATTCAAAGCAATAATAATCAAAATACCAAAGACATTCTTCTCAGATATAGAAAAATGATGCTGAAATTCATATGGAGGCACAGGAGACCTCAAATAGATAAAGCAATCTTGTACAACAAAAACAAAGCCAAAGACATCAGAATACCAGATTTTAAGACATACTACATGGCAGTTATAATCAAAACAGACTGGTACTGGTACAAAAACGGATGGATAGACCAATGGAACAGAATAGAAACACCAGAAATCAATCCAAACATCTACAACCAACTTATATTTTATCAAGTAGCTAAAACCAATCCCTGGAGCAAGGACAGAATATTCAATAAATGGTGCTGGGAAAACTAGATTTCCACATGCAGAAGTATGAAGCAAGACCCTTACCTTACACCTTACACAAAAGTTCACTCAACATGGATTAAAGATCTAAATCTACGACCCAACACCATGAAATTAGAGAACTTCAGAGAAACCCTGCAAGATATTGGCACAAAGACTTCTTGGAAAAGACACCAGAGGTATAGGCAGCCAAAGCCAAAATTAACAACTGGGATTGCATCAAATTGAGAAGTTTCTGTATGGCAAAAGAAACAGTCAGGAAAGTGAGGAGGCACCTGACAGAATGGGAGAAATTATTTGCTAACTATGCAACTGATAAAGGATTAATAACCAGAATCTACAAAGAGATAGATAGAATTACAAAGGAGAGAAAGTTCCAACATGGGAAGCAGGCCACACAGCAGACTCATAGAATGACAAATGCCCTAAACAGCACTCTGACCTCAGAATCAGCCCTTAAGGCAATCAGATCTGATTGAAAATACCATGAGAGCATTTCAGACATGGAAAGCCAAGAAACAGTGGCAAAAATGGCTCTGCATGAAGGGTCTCTGTGAGTGAGACCTCAGTGGAAAGAAGGGGCCATCAAAGAAGGATGTACTTTTCTCTGAAGGGAGGAGAGAACTTCCACTTTGCATATGGCCCTGTCTAAAAACCGACAGAGTTGGTGGACTCAAAAGGCTTCCATAGCCTTGGCAGCTCATGTCAAGAGCCTCGGGTGATCACTGACATCATAAATGAGAGTGTCAGTTGTTAAATCAACAACAGGAGTCACTGTGCACTTGCTCCCCATATGGGACATCTGTCCTTAATGAGTTTCACAGTAGAATTAACAGTAAAACTTGTCTTCAAACTGTACTTTATAATTTGTGTGTCTGTGGGTGCAAACTGTTGAAATCTTTACTCAATATAAAGCTGGTTTTCTGTATATAAAGATAATTAAAAATGAATCTTAATGAAGAACGAGATGGGAGAGGGAGCAGGAGGTGGGATAAGAGTGGGGGTGAGAGGGCAGGTATGGGGGGAAGAACCGCTATATTCCTAAAACTGTACCTATGAAATTTATATTCATTAAATAAAAGATTTACAAAAAATACATAAATCTTTAAAAATTCTTTTATTCATAATCCAAATTATATTTAAATATAAACTAAATGGTATGCTCTGGTACCTGGTTGAAGAGATTATTCTCAGGCTGGTAATAGAATACGGTTTGTCTTTGGTATTATTGCTCACCGGCACAGGCTGAAATTCTATCATTTTGTTTGAACAAGATTTGCCATGCAATAGACTCTGATCAATGGTAATATCATCTCCGCTCCATCAATGTCAAATAGATTTCTCCATCCACCCAAGCAGGAAGTCAGCCAGATACAGGGAATGAAAAACAAACTGCCACTTTTAATGACAAATGGGTGGCAAAGTTTTATTGATTAAGAGGATTAAAAGTGAAGTATTAGGGAATAAATGGTGAGTGATAGCAATGAAGGCTAAAAAGAAATATACAATTAGCTACTCGGGAAAGATTAGCTACAGTGGGGAACATATTAAACAGGAAGTGAGCATCCTCAGGGGACACAGCGTTAGACCAGAGGTCACTCCATTTGCTCACATTCCCTTCACTGGCACCTCAATAGGCGTAAATCAGCGTTCACTATGATATCATGGAAAGGTATTTTTGCTCTCTTACCTCCATTAATATTTGCTGCCAGAATGTTGCCAGAATCAAACAAAAATGCTTATGTTAATAGCTACAGAAAAGAGAAAGCTTGTGCAAACCGTCTGTGACTGTCTATAAAACCAGGCCAACATGCAGAGGTTGGCAGCCATGTGACTTCCTGAAGCTTGAGATCAGCAGCTCTCAACAGGGATGGGTGGGTCATGGTTTTTACCCCGCAGGTGACCTGTGGCAATCTTTGGAGAAACTTTTGATTGACATGACTGGGGAGTGCTCCTGGCATCTAATGGGTAACAGTGTCCAGGTCGAGAAACTTGATTTTAATTGATTAAAAAAGCACCAGACGAGATTGGCAACAACTTCTCAATCACTGGAAACGCAGAATTATGACCATACATCACATAAGATGGGCATATATTTCAGATCACCCTGAAGCAGTTTTATTTTGTGTGGGGAGCCATTGCACGGCGCCCTAAAGATGGCGCCGGCTCCTTTCTCCCGGAAGGACTGGCGAGAAACAAACAACTCCTAATAAGGAGATGGCTGAGCTCCCTTCCGGCTTCCGCATTGCTGTACCTATCAATCCTTGCCACTTGGCTGCTTTTGATTGGTGTGCTGATGGCTATAAGAGGGATGGGAGAGGGAAGGAGGTGGAAGAAGAAGCTTGTTCAAGGTTCCTGAATAAACTGCTTGAAGAAGAGTTCGGGTCGTGTCTTCCTTGCTGGTCGAGGGACGCGACAACTGGTGGCCCGTACGGGGAACCATCTCAAACGCGAACTCAGAACTTCCTGCAGTCAGGGCAGCGCTGGTAAGTCCCCCCTGAAAATTAGGGTGGGGATCCGCGATAAGAGCGGGAAGTCCTGCGACAATAGCGGGAGGATAGCTCTGCGATTAAAGCAGAGGAAGTTCTGTGACAAAAGCAGAAGGAGCTCTGACCCGTGGCCAGGGAAAGAGTACAATATTTGACGGTGGGTAATTCACAGTCCCATCCAATTTTTCTGGCGCTGAATGTGCTGCTTTGAGAAAACGGTTTGAAACTTAAGCCTAGTACATTGCATAGGTTTTTACGTAACTGTGATACCATTGCACCCTGGTATGTGGTTTCGGGAAGCCTTACTATCCCTTCATGGGACAAACTAGGCAGGGATTTGGATTTTGCATTTGAACAGGGTAATCTCGAAAGGGGAGTGAGACCAATATGGAAGTTAGTGCGAGCATGCCTTGAGGATGAGCGGTGTAGTGAAACTATTCTGAGCGGTCAAGCTGCCTTGGAGGAGCTTCAGGAAGAGCGCTCCGAGAGAGCTGCCAGTGAAAAAGGGAAAACTTTGAAGGAGAGTCAGAAAAGAACTAGGAAAAAACTGTACCCCGATCTTTCCGAGTTGCACAGCCCCTCCTTAGTAAGTAGTACTAGTGCAGAAAGCAGCAGTGAGTCTGAAGAGTGTGGCGATAACAAAGAGTCTGGTATAAAGCAAGTACGGGAATTGAATCGGCAAATGAGGATTTCCAAAAATTACAGCCGCTGAGCCCTTACCAGGTGCTCCAAATATATTTACAGATGGGTCAAAAACAGGCTGTGGGGTTTATATGGTAGAGGGTAATGACCCGGTATTTCATCAGTTTCAGCCAGGCTCACCTCAAGTTGTGGAATTAAAAATAGTTATTGAAATCCTTAAGCAGTGCTCTTTTGCCTTTAACTTGTTGTCAGATTCCTTATATGTGGTGAACGCATTAAAGATATTGGAAACCGCAGGACCAATTAAACCTTCTAGCCCAATTGTATCCCTAATGTCAGGTGATTGCTCATTGTCTGGATGCATGGGCCGCCTGGGGGAGACCCCAGGTGCTAAAAACTGATAATGGCCTGGCCTATACATCTCAAACCTTTACCACCTTTTGCCAAAAAATGGAGGTTCAACTTGTCCATGGATTGCCGTACAATCCTCAGGGTCAGGGCATAATTGAGCGAGCACACCGCACACTGAAAGAATATCTTTTAAAACAAAAAGGGGGGCGCGACAGGCCAGGAGAAAGAGAGAGGAAAAATTCCACAGGTATCTTGACCTAGAGAAAAGTCTTAATTCGATAACCCTTTCCAACTTGATGGGTTTTTCTCTTTACAGTTAATAAAAACTTAAGCAATGGGCTCATACGCTGATAATCTCTTTTCTGTGCTGCTGTAGCTAATTTATCTAATGAGAGTTTTCATGTGTCTTGAAGGTTTCGCATTTTTCTATTGCCAGTATGAGTCTTGATTGGAAAAACTGCACCATGAAGCTGTTTACGTTATATCTTTAATGTTTGAGTGAGTACCTAACTTTGATCAGATCTAGTCCACAGCCTTGGTTAAACGTACTAATTTTTGACTAAAATGGTTTGACTCTCTGATAGTTTAAATTCTAAACCGAGTCTTTCAACTTTGGGGCTTCCAGTCGGATCCCTGGAACTCTCAAAGGATGGGACTCTAAATTTGTTAAAGTAACAGCTGTTTGAGTCAATTCAAATTATACAAAGTGTATTAAAATGTAGTAAATGATGTCAAATCTATGTTGTATTCATGTTTTTGCTTTTCAGCTAAAGTAGTCTTATAAAAATGAGAGTAAATTCTGTGTATACAAGCCTTTATGTTGTTAACTCAAGTAAGCCAATACAGATTGGTTCAGAAAATTGGGTTAATGCAAACGCCCTTTGGTTCACTTGCTCAGTTTTATATTTACATGTCTTTGATATGCTTTAAACTTGTTTCTCTTAAGGATGAAGATCTTTTCAAAGTTGTAAATATGCACTAGTGACTGTTGCTGCCCAAGTGGTGTTATCCTTCCTTATGTTACTTAAAAGCATGGAAATGTAATTTTGACTTTTAATTCAGATAATGGTGTGGTATTCATTAATAGCTCAGTGTTTTAAGTTATCCAGGCATCGGTGCTAAGTAAAATATGGAAAACGTATTATGTGTACTTTTAACATCTTAAATTTGATAAGAGACTTTTAAGTTTGCCAGCATGTATTCTCATAGGTTGTCCATACATGATAATTCAAGACTGTAAAAGTAACTACAGGTATAAAGTTTCAGAAGGTGTGAGCAAGTCATGAAAAGTTGTAAAAAGTTTACGATTTTAAAACATTGTTTACAGAGTTTTCTATAAGTTAAATGTTAATGCCAAAATTACACTAACCTAAAGTTGAAGTCTGATCTTCTGTTATAACAATGGGATTTTTTAAAATGTGTACTAATGTTATTAATTATCTGGAAATGGTCTCAATTGTAAATCTTAAAATCTGTTGTTGCAAAAACTGTAACGTCTCTTTTTAACAGTGTCTGCTTAATCAGTTACTCTGCCATTTCTAAAGTTAGGTCGTGTAAGCTCTTTTTAACTCTGTTAAATAGTTCTGAGTTATGTGATAATTTCATGTGCTAACTCTTATGTTCAAGGTTTTTGTATTTCTGGTTTACCTAAAAATTCATGTTCTGCCAAGTAAATGTGTACTCTACTGTCTGTTAAGTTATGATTGATAAAAAGTATTAAGTCTTAAAAAGTTATGTTAAATATTATGATCAGATCTGGTCTAAAAGTGTTAAAATCACCCTGACTAAATGTTAAGGAATTCTATTTTGACCAGATACTCTAAGTTCTCTTGGCACCTTTAACAGACTTTCTGAAAATCAAAGTTCTAAATTCTCTGGACTTTTGGTATCTCCAGAGGGCCCCTGGAGATGTCAAAAGATATATCTCTCATCTTGCAGAGATAATAACCAATCGGGCTGTTTAGATTAAAAGTGGTGCCAAGATGTGAAATGATGCTAAACTTCAGCTATAAACATGTTTCTTTCTAGCTGCTCCAGTCTCTGGCTCAGAAGCCAGATCCTTTAAAGAGGGACTGACAAAGTCTAAGAAGCATCCCATGGTCATGATTTGCATCACCTCAATGTCCAAACCTTAAGCTTTGGCAGATGGATGTTACCCATTTTTCTGAATTTGGTAAACTAAAATACATACATGTTTCTTTAGATACATGTTCAGGTTTTGTTTTTGCCACCCCACAATGCGGCGAGGCTGCCAAACATCTCTCATTGCCTTCAGGCCTTTGCTGTTCTAGGAACCCCTATACAGATAAAAACTAATAATGGCCCAGCGTATACTTCCAACTCTTTAAAGCACTTCTGTACTAACTTCCACATCTCTCATCACCGGGATTCTTTATAATCCCCAGGGACAAGGTATTGTGGAACGAGCACATGCCACATTAAAAAATTATTTACAAAAAATAAAAAAGGGGGAATACGGGACCATGGCATATTCCCCACAAAAATGGCTATCACATGCTCTTTTCATTTTAAATTTTCTAATACTGGATAATCAAGGGAAATCTGCAGCTCATCGTCACTGGCATCCTGAAACCAAAAGACAACAAGTCTATGTGAAGTGGAAAGACCCTCTAACTTCTCAATGGTATGGACCTGACCCTGTTTTAATATGGGGACGTGGACATGTTTCTATATTCTCGATGGTTACCTGAGCGACTGGTGCGGCAAACAGACAATGTCACAAAGCAGCCTCTCTATCTTCATTATAACATTGCTGATTGGGATCGTTACTGCAGCCTTTATAACCGCCATTTCCATTGCAGCTGTGGGCACTACAACAGCTGCTATAGCGCTCACAGGGACAGTTCAAACTGCTAATACCCTGAATAATTTGACGGCCTCCGTGGCTGCTGCTTTGGATACTCAGACATCCTTAAATGTACATATAAAGGGAGGTTTGATGATTGTTAATCAGCGTGTGGATTTGGTACAGGAGCAGGTGGATACTCTCTGGCAGCTTGCTCAGCTAGGATGTGAGTGGAAATTTTCAGGGTTGTGTGTGACCTCTGTTCAGTACAATAACATGACTCAGGCAGCAAATTACTCTAAACAGTTGTCTCAGATGCTCTTGCAGAATTGGTCCACAGAATTTGACTACACCTTGAAGCAACTGCGCCTTGCCGTGGTCACCATCAACTCCACACGTGTGGATGTCTCCTTCACATCTGGATTGTCATCCTGGATCCGCACAGCTGTCTCCAACCTGAAGGAGTGGGTGGGACTTGGAGCTTTGACGGGGTTGCTGTTACTTGTTGTGTTATTTTGCCTGTGGTGTTTGTGCAGGATGAGGACAGCTCATTGGCGGGAATTGGCCATGATAGCTCAAGACTTTTATGCCCTTGAGGCTGGACAATCACCGCAAGCATAGCTGGCCTTCCTTGAATGCTAGGCATAGGTGCAGGGTGCGAGGCAAAGCACTGCAGAGAGAACGAGCCATTATGTTCTCTGGAAGGCAAGTCTGTCTGCATGTGGGTTGGCATCCCAGATCCCACCCCCGCGAAAAGGATGCTGTTCCAGGTGGATGCCTGGCAGTGGGGGACAGACCCCTACCTTCTCCTGTAATCCTTAGATGCCTGGTTCTAAAACAAAAAGGGGGAACTGTGGGGAGCCATTGCACGGCGCCCTAAAGATGGCGCCGGCTCCTTTCTCCCGGAAGGACTGGCGAGAAACAAACAACTCCTAATAAGGAGATGGCTGAGCTCCCTTCCGGCTTCCGCATTGCTGTACCTATCAATCCTTGCCACTTGGCTGCTTTTGATTGGTGTGCTGATGGCTATAAGAGGGATGGGAGAGGGAAGGAGGGGGAAGAAGAAGCTTGTTCAAGGTTCCTGAATAAACTGCTTGAAGAAGAGTTCGGGTCGTGTCTTCCTTGCTGGTCGAGGGACGCGACAATTTTGCAGCCTAGCAATGTTTCAAGCCAGGTATGCGATGTCAAAAGATTCTGTGGGAGTTCAGGAGACAGGCTCCACTCCAAAAGGCAGAACAAAAATTCCAAAATCTGCATCAGAGATGACAAATGGCGCGGTATGGTGAGTAACTCACGTGGATTAATACATTAAGCATATTAAGTCATCATATGCCTTTGTTACCGTGTACATGGAGTATAATTTTTAAAAAACCTAATTGTGGTGAGAATCTCATTTGAATTGTGTCTGGACAATCATCGGCACCATCAGCTCTTACTGTAACTTGTGATTTATCTCCAACGGGCTATAACTTATCAGCAGGTCAAAGAGCTGGAAAATTACTATCTGTTTAGCTAAATAGATCACATCTGTCAGCAAACTTGTCCGAATAATCTGGCACGGTGGCCGCGGTGCGTGCGGAGAGCTTCCTTCCCTTGGTTTATCACAGGAGAGCCCTCCGGCTTGTCTTCTCCGCGTGGCGCGGAAGCGGGCGCACACGCGCTCCTGTGCACACGCGCTCCTGTGCACATGCGCTCCTGTGCACACGCGCTCTGGGGCACACGCGCTCCAGTGCACACACGCTCCTGTGCACACGCGCTCCGGGGCACACGCGCTCCGGTGCACACGCGCTCCGGGGCACACGCGCTCGGTGCACACGCGCTCCGGGGCACACGCGCTCCGGGGCACACGCGCTCCGGGGCACACGCGCTCCTGTGCACACGCGCTCCGGGGCACACGCGCTCCGGGGCACACGCGCTCCGGGGCACACGCGCTCCGGGGCACACGCCGTGGGAGGGCTCTGGAACGCTTCTGCAGAACCAGACGCGCGCAGTCCCCGCCTGACTGCCTTTGATTCCTGTTTCTCCAGGGCTGCTGGAAACCGGTTGGTGTCGTTTCCACTTCAACTCCTTCCTAAACTGCCCCGGGGAATAGGTTTTCAACAAAGGAGAAGCATTCAGGATTAAGTTCCAGGCGCTGATAAAAATCTCCCTCAGATAGACCCTGGCCCCTCACTAATGGCAGAAGAGCTCTTCAGGCTTCCTTCCGGGCTCCCTCAGCAAAAGTGTGCCCCCTAGTGGTGACGAGCATAAACTGGAGACAGCTGCACCCGAGTTCAAAACCGCTTGACCACTTTCTGTCTATGGCCGTGGGCAAGCAGCATAACCTCTCTGATCCCCAACCTCCCATGGACAACAAAGAGGACATTACCTACCTCCATATCCACACCCATAGCATTATTCATAGATCCATATTCGTAGCATCATTCACTATAGCTAAAACGTAACCCAAATGTCCATCACGGACAAATGGATAAACAAGGTATGATCTATTCACGCACTGGAACGCTGCTCTGCCTAATAAAGAAAGGAATTCCAGACACTTGCTACAACTTAGATGCAGTCTGAGGACCTTTATGCTAAATTAAATAAACCAGCCACAAAAAGACAGATACTCCACGTGTCCACTTCTGTAAGGATGAATCTAGATGGTGGAGTTCATAGAAACAGAAACAAAGCTCATAGAAACAGAAAGCAGAACTGGGCCTGGTGCCGTGGCTCACTTGGTTAATCCTCTGCCTGCAGCGCTGGCATCCCATTTGGGCGCCAGGTTCTATCCCAGTTGCTCCTCTTCCAGTTCAGCTCTCTGCTGTGGCCCAGGAAGGCAGTGGAGGATGGCCCAGGTGCTTGGGCCCTGCACCCACATGGGAGACCAGGTGGGGGAGGCACCTGGCTCCTGGCTTCAGATCGGCACAGCGCCAGCCACAGTGGCCATTTGAGGGGTGAACCAACGGAAAGAAGACCTTTCTCTCTGTCTCTCTCTTTCTCACTGTCTGTAACTCTGTCAAATAAATAAATAAATAAAAATCTTTAAAAAAAAAAAGAAAGCAGAATTGTGATTACTAAGGGACTGGGAAGGGAAGGGGAGAATGGGTGCAGAGTCTCAGGTTTGCAAGAAGAAAAGGTTCTGGAGACATTGCATAGAAATGAGAATACACCCAACACTACTGACCTGTATACATGACAATGGTTAACATGATACATTAACAATGGTTAAATATAAAAAATTATATATATTTACAATATAAAAAAGAAAAAGGACTACCTCCTGGGACTGTTACGAAGTTATGTTTATTAGGTACTGAGCACAGGACCTGGCTCACAGCCCTCTGTCAATGCCAGGTGTCATGAGTAGAGCCCTCTAATCACTCTATCAGGTCCATTTAGAACATGTGTTTGGGGTCTGATCCTGCACTGAGTGCCAAGGGCAGTATACATGAGGAATGTGCCTATTCCCTCAGGTTGTTCAGTGTCACCAAGGAAACATATCTGGCACAAGTGAAACAGCAGGAGACCAAGGAGGGAGATGGTGCTTCATGTCCCAGACCAATGATGCTGGAGACCAGGTAGAAATGTCAAGGATGCGGTAATAACAATAGATAGAATTACAAAGGAGAGAAAGTTCCAACATGGGAAGCAGGCCACACAGCAGACTCATAGAACGACAAATGCCCTAAACAGCACTCTGACCTCAGAATCAGCCCTTAAGGCAATCGGATCTGATTGAAAATACCATGAGAGCATTTCAGACATGGAAAGCCAAGAAACAGTGGCAAAAATGGCTCTGCATGAAGGATCTCTGTGAGTGAGACCTCAGTGGAGAGAAGGGGCCATCAAAGAAGGATGTACTTTTCTCTGAAGAGAGGAGAGAACTTCCACTTTGCATATGGCCCTGTCTAAAAACCGACAGAGTTGGTGGACTCAAAAGGCTTCCATAGCCTTGGCAGCTCATGTCAAGAGCCTCGGGTGATCACTGACATCATAAATGAGAGTGTCAGTTGTTAAA